TTATCTTCACTGTATCATCTTGCATCTTTTCTCCCCTTCTTTTTGTCTTCTCTATTATTTTCCACTTTATATTTTCTCCCTTTCATCTCCATCATGCCTCTCTTGTCTCTTGATGCTGACACACCTTTTAGCCCGTCGTCTTTGCTCCCCCACTTGTCGCATTATGTTATGTTTTCCTTACATCATTTTTTTTTATTGAAGAACTCATCTGTGGCTATGTCGAAAGCAACATCTCATTCTGAGATTGCTCTTTGTGTACAGTATACGCTCAGCTATAATTCATCGCATACACATCACAGCAGAGACAATGCATACTAAATACCTTGAATGCAAAGACAAGCACATGCGCTGCATAAACATAGGCCAGAAACACATACACAACAAAATCCTTTTGACATCAATAATTGGTAAATCCTCTGATTAACTTGTAAGAATTGTCCTTAGAGTGCTTAAGTAATTGTGTTTGTGTGTGTCCTTTTTATTGCATGCACCCCCCTCTCTTTAAAGCACATCTTTATAACCAAGCAATTCCAAAGCAATTTTCTCTGTGGGAGGAGAGTGTAATTTTCTATTCTGTGACACTGTGATGTGTAAGAAACTGGGAGCTGGTGCTAAAAGGTGTCTGTAGTGTGTGTCTTGGTGTGGGTGTGAGCCGCTTTAATGGCCAACGCGGGGCGGGTGGCGATGGTGGTGAGCGGGTGCATGTCAGGAAGGCCATCATTTAATGACTCCCAAATAGTGCCCTCCTCGTTAGAGCTATCGTCCTGGAAACACGAGGCTGTGAACCACGAGAGCGCCACACGCTGCAACAGTCTTTTATCTTCATATTAAACCATTTGCATAACATTACCGCGATAGATAAGATTCAGGAGATACTCAACCTACTCAGGGAGAGACAGAGAGAGAGTAGACACAGGAGACACAGAGAGGGTATACTACATGTCCTTGCAAATCTAATCAGCGTTAAATGGAGCTGTCAAACGTGTGTGTGAGTGTGTGTGTGTGTGTGTGTGTGTGTGTGTGTGGTACTGGATGGCTCATGTCAGGAGTCATTTAACATTAAACTGCAATAGTATATAACAGGGCTGTAATTACAAAATACAAGAATCCAAGCCATTTCTTGTTAGATGTGACATCTAAATACGGCAGTTATTTACCAGTGATACACAAGATGAGGCCAAATGATAACAATTCAGATGACATGTGCACTTATATGTCCTTCACAAAGTTCACTTTTAAGGTTTTTCTTTTGAATGTGTCGAACGAGTTGCAGTCGTCATAGCAGCTCCACAGATAGCAAAGCAATTAGAACAAATTACATTACTGCCATTTTTTAAAAAATTAAATAAATAAAAAATGCTGATGTGGTTTGCATTGATGGTTGGATTTTGTGTGATATCAGCGGACGAACAAAAGATTCAATTTCACGTTTTGTATAGACACATCTATCTATACTATTTTAAAATTGTGTTTTGCTTTGCTTTGTGTCTGAAAGAGTATATCTGACAGCTGCTTTTCCCCTGCTCCGAGAAGAATAAAGAGGAGATGAAAGAATCTCATTACTGTCGAGAAACAAGAGCAGGACAGTGTGCAAGCACACACTAATTAGTTGTTCCTACTCGCTCCTGCCTGATTAATTTAATCAGAAGTACTCTTGATCTATATATAACTACCAGTATTTTAACCTCTATAGCTCTGGCTGTGTGTTTCCTTTAAGGCTTAATCATAGTTTGAGAATCCCTGAATGAATTCTGGGCCATATAAAGGGTAGAGATTGTAAACTATACTCTATGCCTTACATTGCAAAAGTTAGGGTTCATGCTGGAGGCCTTATTTTTGAGTTGACAATATAAAAAAACACCATTGTGTTGGTGATTTAAATGACCCTGCACACCCACGGCAAACTCATACAGGCGGTACGCATGTGTGGGCAAGCCTGATGGACATTTCTCAGACTCCTGTGCTAGCTTTGTTGCACCAGCAGACTGTATATAAAAGATGCTCATAGAGACCATGATGTCATCCATTGGTTTGTGAGCGTCTGTTTTGAATGAGTTGGGTTTGGCATTTGCTATCTGTACTGATACAGTGGAAATCTGTCAATCACAAAGTATCTCTGTCTTCAAACCCTGCTTTATCGTCAATTTTGCTCTAAATGGAGTTATACGTTATGAAATGAACATCAAGCTGTACTGAGGAAGACCGGAAACAAGCAATTGAGACAATAGAGTCACTAGGAAAACGTTTACTGTGGTAATGAATCAAGTTAGAAGTCGGGTAGTAGTACTACAATAGACTTCTATACAATCAGACTTCTGTTTGCAACTACAGGAGTCGCCCCCTGCTGGTCATAAGAAACAATGCCTGTTGAAGGCACTTTCACATTGGTTTCACTTTCAGAACCAGAGTCCATCTTTTGTGTACAGTCTATGGTTGCACTTGTTGTGATGAAACAGTGTATGCCTATAGAATTCTTCTTGGTGCATCAATATAAATTCATTCATCCTTAGCCTGAACAGTGTAGTCATTGACTGGTATGTGTTTTTTTATGGCCGATGTCGATGCGTAGAGAGCAAGGCTGTTCTACAAATGTCGATATGATGTTGTTCTGCATGCAGTAAAATACATACAACAATTTACCGATGATAAAAGAAAAGGATACAATAAACTACTGAACTTCAATGAACACTGACATGGTCTCCATTTGCTCCAATGCCTCTGTGCTGCGCTGCTGTTTACAGATTTCTATATCTTAGCTCATCTAATAACGTATTTGGAATTGCGACCTATGCCGGCTCTACTCAAGCTCTTGTTTTGCAAAGTTTCCTGCTAATTTTAAACTTCGCAGCCCCAGACCCAGCGTAGCTAGTGCGGACCGACCCAACGTAGCCCCTGTAGCCACCTCTCTGATAATCAGCGGATGAAGATTATCTCAGAATGGCATTTAATCAGCCGGTTAATCAGCCTAACACTAGAACAGTGGTTCACTCGGGCAGAATAACTGTGAAAACACCTGTGTGGGTGTGCAGGGCATTTAAAGGCTTAATTCACCCAAATAACACAATAATGTTTCCTCAAATAGCCATGCAGAGAGTTTTAGTCTCGTGATGTTGATAGTTTGACTGATCTGTCTTTGAGATTTGTGCGACTTTAATACAGTTGAATTATGCTCAAAGTAAAATATCAAAATGTCACCGTAAAAGCCCACAGTGAGGAGTGCTTACAGAACTGCAGTTGTGTCCATTTCAGTGGGGTAGTGGCGTTAGTAAAGCCAAACACAAGTCAATAAGAAACAAAAATAATTTGCATGGCAAGACATGTTGTTTTGCTGTGTGCATTTTGCCAAAGTGATCCTTTAATGGTGAGAATAAGACTAAGGGGGGCAAAATGCTCAAACATTGTATGTATATGTGACAGCTTGTGAACTTGTTTGTGGTGTGAAAGGCTAAAGATGCCATCACAGTACAGGATAAACTTGTAACTGTGTGTGTGTGTGAGAGAGAGAGAGAGGGGGGGGGGAGAGAGAGATTGCTTGTTTATGCATATGGGGATAGACTGTGCCAGGTGAGTGTACCATTTACCATCAAGCTATTGAATTCAGCAGGCATCTAATAACAAAGCATTTATGGCCCACTTACGCATGCATAGATATAACTGTCAGTAGGCAACAACAGCGTCCTCTCTCCCGTCTCCAGCTATTCCTGCTTCTCTTAAAACACACAGGCACCATCCGGATTGGACCCAGATACTCTAGAATTCTATCATCAGACTCGGGGATGAAATTAAAATCGCTCATTTTCTTTCTCCATACAAGGAGCAGATCAATTTCCGGAGACTGGGACGTGATATTTTCCTGCCATTGGGCTTTCTCGTCTTTGGCACAGCACCCTGACTGCCTGCCAGCGGGAGGCCCGGGTCTGACTGCACGCCTCGCCGGAGAACAGTTACTTCTGCCGCGGCGAGTTTATTTGCGCCTCGCTATGAGAATTGCCATCATTTACCCTTCCCCAACACCTCCCCAAAAAAGAGAAAAGAAATAGACAAGCAGGGGGAAGCGAGGCAAGAATGAGAAAGGCGAAATTGATTCTTTTTGATACATGCTGCATGGGGGACATTAGGTACACCTCGTTTGACCACCTATTCCGAGAAATGAACTGAATAAATTTTGCGTAAACTAATGTATAGGCCTTTTTTTAGGGGCCTTTTTGCGGTCTTTTCCACTATATCTAGAATGATGTGCTCGCCGCAGCATACACAGGTTATCGGGCTAATGCTGGTTTTAGGGGGAGTTGATTAATTTGCGGAATCACTTTACATAAAACAACAACTCTGTTAAGCATGACGGAATTAAGAGAGGCGATGGCGCACTGATGTGGAGGATTGGTCTCCTCAATTGTAGTGCAAACATTTCAATTTGCCCTCAGAATAAACACCAATTTATAATCAAAATAGATTATAGTAAATCTGGCAATCTATACACTTCATTAAATACTTTTTTTAATTTTTATAAACTTCGATGTTTGTTTTAAAGGACGTGAGGTTGTACATGGCACCACTGTTTGCGCGCGCAGTGCGTAAAAGGTCACCACAATTTAACCATGATGAAAAAGGTTTTTAACCACAATTATTAGCTGATTATTTTCCTTATTTCATTATAATCTGCAGAATATCTCAGCTACTAGATATTATGAGTTTCTGGCAGCCAGCCTTCGCTTTTCTTCCTATTCCAGGATGTTTGTGACCACAGAAACCATGCCTGGGAGATGTAACTCTTCCCTCTCATGAAATGCATATTTGTTACCTGTGTGTTGCACTCTGCGCTCTGGGTCCTTGTTTGTCTTGGCACTGACTCTGGCCCTTCTTTGCGCACATTTTGGCCATCCGACCCGTCCTCTTCCCTCTGCATGACACCCAGCTGTTGCGTCACGGAGCCAGTCAAGGCCTAATTAAACCCATATTGAGAAAGAGCATAAATCCGGCCCACTTTTTCTCCCAGTCCACAAACCGGCATGCACTCGTCCTGAAGTGGATTTTGGTCGAAGGGGGGGATACATAAAGAGTGAGGCAGAGAGAAACTGCAAGTTAATTTGTAACCTCTGAAACACTAAGCAGCTGCGAGGAAAGTTTTAACAGACACCACAATGGCTGGACTTAAGGTAAGACGGCAGTTACTTTTATTATTTCTAACCTCGATAAATGTTTATTTGTCATTGCTGGGAGCTGCGCACTAAAGTTTCTGAATTATTCCTGTGCCTGTGGATGAAAGTACAAACATGCTGCAGGTCTTTACGATTCCGAAAATGAGATACTTTAGCTGTTGTTTGTATATCCTGCACCAGAAATGTGCGAAATTAAACCGTTCATAGCTGTCATAGCCGCAGACCAGCAGACTGGAGAGAGGCGTTCCCTCCAACCAATCAGAGCGCTGCATTCAGCAGCTGCCCAGATGTGGACTTAAAGGCTTCAACAGCTCAAAGGAGTTATTCGTATTTCAGTTAATGCTTCAATTTAATGAAAGAAAGAAAGTGAACTTTAAAACAATTTTTACACTATATTTTCATTTTTGCAGAGTTGCAGCCATATAAATGTTGCATTTAGTCCTGTATGGTGTAGTTGCTTTAGTCCTAATCTGATTAAAGCATCATTGTCATGATACATATCATGATATTGATATTTTAAAGGCCAAACTGTTGAGCACATAAGGACATGATCACACTGCTCTTCAAAAAGTTTGGAACAATAGACTATTAGAATAAAAGTGATCGAAATTCCTTCTCTGTGTGATTTCCAAGTGCTAGATTTCTGTTTTTTGCTTCTCTAACTTGAAACAAACCTTTAAAATGAATCAAATCCTACTTCACATACCATTCTTTCACGAGGGTCACACTGGAGCCTCGGGTGTACTCACATGGACGCGCACATATGGAAACCATCTATGCCTGTGAGCCTGCTCTTTGCAGACTAACAATGACTCAGCAAGATGTGTTTACATTGTGCCAGGTTCATGTTTTTCTGCGGCGGGGTTGCTGATCACTGCTGGTGTGCGATAGTAGAGTAATAATCCTATCAGAATTGACATATTGATCAAAAAGTACTGTGGAGGATGTGAGCGTAATTAGCCTGTTTCAGTAACACAATAACACAAAAATAATGGATGACTGCAAGGGGGGAAATTTGGCATAACTGCAGTTTGTTTTGTGATAGATCTAATGTGAATCAATATGACAACAATTAACAAAAAGACAAGCCTTAATGACAAGCCTTCAAATTTAATTATAACCAGCATGAAGACATTTATCCTGCATTACAATGAAGCCGCATGATGTATTTTTTATTTTTCACTTTAACTTGCCTTCACTTGAGTGTTTGTCTGTCTCTTTCAGTACCTGAGTGGTTTCGGGAATGAGCTGGCATCTGAAGACCCTCGTTGTCCTGGATCCCTACCTGAGGGACAGGTAGCACACAAAGCACACACACACAGGGCTCATTTTGGCATTCATTTTATCTGCTGTTTATTCATTAATTCTGCTAAATTTTGTACTTAAGTGAACTGAATGAATTATTAATACGGCACCACGGGGACTAGGAGGAGTGACTCTTCACAGTTTCTGAGGAAACATCAAAAATTAATCCTAATAGACTTATAGTCAGCTCCAAAACATGGAGTGTCCTCTTTTATGTGACTCCAAAATAACTTGAGATGAGGACTGCAAAATCTACTAAATCTATCAGAATCTTGAGTTTGAATGTTTTGTCTATTTTGGTTATTTGAAAAAAACGAAAAAGACTTTAAGCTTAACATGTCTTTATTTCTGATTGTGTCTCAGTCAAACCTTCCAGTCTGATACATTGCATGGCACCAATCATTAACATTCTGGTAATGTACTCTGTCTCCACAGAACAATCCTCAGGTCTGCCCATACGGCCTCTATTCTGAGCAGCTCTCTGGCTCTGCCTTCACCTGCCCACGTCCAGCCAACAAAAGGAGGTGGTCATCTTTGTTAATCATCCCATCCAGGCCAAATGGATCATAAGTATCATGAGTAATTAAACACTGTCCTCTCCTCTCTTTCTAGCTGGTTGTACCGCATCCTTCCATCTGTTAAACACAAGCCTTTTACCCCAGCACCCTGTGGGGATCTCACAGAGAACTGGAACGAAGTGGAGCCTGATCCCAACCAGGTATATCAGCAGGAAGAGTCCCTGCCAATTTTAGATTTGGTTTAAGAAAGGAAAGTGGGGCTCTTTTTAAGCCCCTAAATAAATGTTTAATATTTTTTAAAAGTCGAAAAAATAGGCTGAAGATAAAGTGGCAGTCTCGAACACTTTGATTGAAAGATATGTGTGCTAGGTCACTATCTGTCATTAAATACGGTAACACAATGGTGACTGAACCTATGACCTATGATGAAATTATACAAACGGGCTTTCAGTCACGATATTATGAACTGGAGTTCCCTGTCGACAGTCCTACACAAGCTCGACAGAGTTAGTTACCGCACTGCAACTTCTAATGCAAAAGTTCCATGAATGCCCAGTTAAAACTCATGTTCCAAAAGTGAGTCAATCTAATTGATCCCCACGTTAAAATGCCCAGCTTTACAGCAGAAATAAACATGTTTACAGCCTGTCACAAAAACCATTTTAGCCTCTATAGCTTATTTCCATTTTTCTTTCCATGTACAGGAGAGATTTTTATATACAACTGTCTCATTTAAAGTGTATTAAAGCTTAAACGTATGCATAGTTAAGGGTGATAGGATGTGAAAGGTGATTTGAGTGATAGGTGTTGGAACACAGTCAGTCGCCCAAAGACGTTTGCACAGCCCGCCACAGTTCCACTGACGATCCACCAATTTGCGGATTTTAGTCGGGTTAGGAAGACTGCCAAGATGGCGACAGCTGGAGCCACCGCAGTGAACTTCAAAACCGCTGTTGAGGAATCCTGTGGATGACGTCACAGACTTTTTTTTCCAGTCAATGTTAGTAAGGTACCTCCATCACCCAGTAGTTGTGGTAGTAGAAGTAGTAATAGGCAGGGCTAATGCAACAGACTTGTTCACGAGCTATCGTGTGTGAAGCAGCACACTGTTTTTTTTGTTTTTGTCGCAGAAGACATTCCCTTTTTGTTTCCATTTGTGGTGCTTTCGAATTGTTACGGACATATGGCCGAGGCGCCAAGTGACTGTCTGTGTCACACAGGCAACGCTGTTTGGATGTCTAGGAAGGGATGTTCAAAATCATACCTACGATTACCGCCTATTGCCATAGGTGCCATCAAAGACAACAAAACGGAGATCTTTGGGGCTGCCAGTTAAATGCTCTTCTTTTTGCTCTTGAAATGAGTTAGACTACATGACAAGATTGATTCCACTCAAACTAAAGGCATCTGCAGTGCAGGGTCATGATATGGATGGCTTCAAATAGTTTGTCTTTTGTGAATAAAGCGCTTTCTTGTCATTGAGTGGGATCTTCCTATTCCGTCTTAGGTCCATCTTTTTCTATATGAACACCGCCAATATCATTCTCAATTTGATTAAAAAAATTAATTAATTAAAAAAAGCCCACAAAAACGTACAAGGCTCAAACAATCAAATGGGTTTATGCTGAATCTCATTGGTCATAGTAAGAAGCTAACTGAGGAAGCCCTTAATCTTTTCCTTGACCAATGAATTCCTTAAAATTTTCTGTATTTTCAAAATAAAATGTTTCTGATGCTGATATTTCTTCACAGCTGCGATGGCTGCCGTTCGCCATCCCCAAATCTACAGAGAAGAAAGTGGACTTTGTGGCTGTAAGTCCCACTCGTTTTTTATTTATGGGGGTTTTTTCTTCATAATATTATTTTCTTCTCTGTTCATTGATTGGGATTGTGTTCTTCTGTGTGTTTCAGGGTCTACATACTGTCTGTGGTGCTGGAGATGCCAAATCTCGCAATGGCATCGGCATCCATATGTTCACCTGTAACACCTCAATGGTTGACAGGTGAGTGTGTATTTGAATGCATATATATCTCTTCGTGTAACAAAAAGTATTTTCATGAATTAAAAATATAAAATCCTCGGTTGCGCTTTGACAATGACTTCAAAGCTCTTTCTTTTTTTTTTTGTTCCAGGTGCTTCAACAACTCAGACGGAGACTTTCTGATTGGTGAGGGAAAGGGTTGTTGATGTTTTCACTGTCATCTATCACAAGAGCAATGATAGCTCAATCCTCAGTCCTTCGTCTCCCTCAAATTTTCTTCTCTCCGCCGCTCTCTTTGTCTGTTTGTGTCTCTAGTCCCCCAGCAGGGTGAGATCTTGATCACCACAGAGTTTGGGAAGATGATGGTCGAGCCGAACGAGATATGTGTCATCCAGGTGGGTTGTATGTTTTTCATCTCCCCGGTTTTCTCAGAAATCTACCATTGTGTCTGCCCCCACACCCCACTTACCATATTTAGAGACATGGTTTGGCGCTATTCAAAAGTGACCTTAAAAATAAATAACAGTGGAAAGGGGTTTTAAGCTACAGAAAGCCTGACCACAAGGACTGCAGCACGTGTATTTTTCCAAACACATTAGTCCATGAACCCCAAAGTCCCCTCAGCATTGATGCAGCCCACATTTGATACATAACAGCACTAACTTTCCTCTCACTGCCACTTTTCATATTTTTTATTTTTTTCCCCAGCAAGGGATGCGCTTCAGTGTGGATGTGTTTGGAGCAACCAGAGGCTACATACTGGAGGTGTACGGAGCCCATTTTGAACTCCCTGATCTGGGACCTATAGGTTTGTATTTCTATGATGTTTGTAAGTGTCAATATGTGCAGTATACAATCAGATCCATAAGTATTTGGACACTGAGACCATTTTTGTACTTTGCCTCTGTACTCCACCACAATAGATTTGAAATTAAGCGAGATGCAATTAAAGTGTAAAGTTTAACCTCATTATTTCATGGCAATTTAAGAAGATAAAAGGTCTGGAGTTGATTCTGAGTGTTGAATTAGCATTTTTGTAGCGGTTCCATTTAACCCTCAATATGTCGTCCAAAGAGGTGCTAATGCAAATGAAGGACGCCATTATTATTTTGAAGAAACAAGCCAAAACAAGAACTGGGTACATTCTTAACATGAAAGAATGCACTGGCGAGATCAGCTACACCAAAAAAAAAGCTGATGATCGCAGAAGTCTTTCCTTGTTGGAGAAAACCCCTGCACAACATCCAACGAAGCTCGCTCTGGCGGATGTAGGCATCATTGTCAAAGCCTACAACCAAGAGATGCCTTCATGACTGTAAATACAGAAAGTTTACCTTAAAATGCAAACCACTGGTATCACTTAGGAACGGAAAGGCCACATTACACTTAGAATGATGGGAAAAGACAAACATGGATAAGGAAAGGAATGGCTTATGATTCAAAGCAGAGCACATCATCTGTCAAACATGGTGGAGGCAGTGTTATGCCAATGGCATGTATGGCTGCCAATAGAACTGAGTTGCTGGTGCTTATCAATGATGTGACCGCTGCGAGAAGTAACAGGATAAATTCTGAGGTCTTTTACTTTCTGCTCAGATTCACTTAAATACTGCAAAACTAATAGGACAGTGCTTTATTGTACAAAGGCAACGCAAGAGCTTCGTAAGGCAAACAAGGAAATATTCTTCGACCCAAATTAGAATGCTTTTCATTTACAGACGACAAAATTAAGGGCAGAAAGACCCACTAACAAGCAGAAACTGAGGATGGCTGCAGTGAAGGCCTGGCAAAGTGTTTCAAAGGAGGAAACTCAGTATTTAGTTATGTTCATGTGTTCCACACATCAAGTTTTCCTTGACTGCAAAGGATTTGCATCCAAGAATTAAAAATAACCCTTACATTTATAAATATAATGGTGTGTCCAGTTTCTTTTGAGCCTGTAAGCATTGAGGGGCGATGTAAAAAAAATCCTATACAGTTAATGCAGGACTTCAGTTAAACCCCTTGAATTACAGCCAAACAGCTACACTTCAAACACACCTTGATTGCTTCATTCCAAACCCATTGTAGTGGTCAACCTAGGCAAAATTGCTTTATGCATTCTGCACACTAACCTCTTTACAAATGTTTCTCACAATATCCTACTGCTGTCTAAACTGTTCACACTTTTCTCTGTCAATCTGTGACTTTTATCCAGTCAGTTCGTCTGCTGCTCAGTCAGTCAGCCAGCCCATCACACTGAAATATCTTAAATCACAGACAGACATTCGTGGTCCCAGGAGGATAAAACCTACTGACTTGATTCCCTGACTTCCTCTCCAACATGACGAAGAGCTTGACATTTGTGGCTTAAAATGTGACATCTCCACAACTTTAAGGTGGATTACCATGAAATTTGGTGAACAACTCCTCAGGAACTTGACTCTTGAATAGAAGGAAGTTTCATGTAGTGTCATTGTAAAGTTGCCATTTATCAGCTGCGCTCATGTGTACATGTTTTGCAGGAGCCAACGGTCTGGCCAACCCCAGAGATTTCCTGTGTCCAGTCGCATGGTACGAGGATCGCGAAGTGTCCACCGGTTACACCGTCATCAACAAGTACCAAGGAAAGCTGTTTGCTTGCCAACAGGTGGTTATTGTGACATTTAAGTCTGTGCGTGTCACTGTACTCGCACATGTACACGCTGACAGGGACATACGCGTGCAGCACACTTGCCCTATTACCCCATTCAAGGTTTGCGTTTGCTTCAGTTAACACCATCGAACTGCGACGACTAACAGGAAACTGTCCAAGTGAAGCATATGATCCATTAGCTGCTCCTGCTGCCTGAATTTCCATCCCTGATGATTTAATATCGAAGCGTTAGCTGTTATCCATTCAGCAGGTTTCCGCCTCGACTCCCTTATGAGTCTTAATCACTCATAATTAGTTAAGGCATTCTGGAGCTGCAGACAGTGTACCTGTGAAGCTCTGCTTTGTAGGAAAAACCTTTTCCAAGTTAAGCATTAATTTCACCATATTTCGCTCAGGGAATGATCCTCCCCCTCCCGAAATGTCCTGTTGGGCGCATAATTGGATCGACACATAATGTCTGACAGGAGGTTTTTTACTGAGACAGGGAGGAGGTGGGAGGAGAGATTTGTCAGGGGAGGGGGTTGGGGGGGTTGTAACCGTGGAAACCATGTCAAACCACACTGTTATTATTCATCGTAAGAAGTACACAAGGGCAGGATAGTGTCTTTTTTGAAGCAAAGCAAACCTTTTTCCATCTTCCTCGCTGCCTTTACTTGAGCAGTTATGTGCTGGGGGTCAGAGGCGACACTCTTTTCCTGGTGTCCACCCTTCCCCGAGCCTGGAGAGGGAGGCTACAGGGGTAAGAAAATAAGATGGGGGGTGGGTTGGGGGGGGGGGGGACACAGGCCTCATCTCAGGGAAGATGCTGCTGCTCCTGTCTGGTCCTGCTGTTTTGTTCCCCCGCAGAGTGCTGAAATTGCTCAAATTAACTTATTATTTGCTTGACTGGGCCAATATGTTTGTGTTTTGTGTGCATGTGTGTGCAAGTGCTTGCTCTCCTCCATTTTTTCCCTCATTTTAATCGAATGTAGTGGAGTTATCACAGATGAATGTCCAAGAAATTACCTGCACTGGGTTTCCCAAAGGCCTTTTTGTGCGGCAACTGTTGCCAATTGAGTGTGTGTTAAGTTTTTATGTGAGTGTTTATTAGTTATGTGTGTCATTTTATTCATGTGCGTCAACGTATGTATATGTATTTGTTAGTTTTTAATGTTAGTGTGTATCAGCTGTTTGCGTGTGGAAATGTACAAGAGCATGTGTGGAAGGAGCACGGAGGTCAGTATGGAGGCAGCTTGAGTTGTAATGAACTATATTGATTTTAGAGCTGCTGTTGAATGTCTTTTTTGCAGTGACATTATCAGAACAGAGAAACTATATAAAATTGCTGTGGTTTTAACAATCAAGATAAAGAAATATCTCTGCACCCACTGTTGCTGCTGCTCCCTCCCCCCATAACTACGCCGCCGCGAGCGTCAAAATGCTCAAAGTTTGGGAAAGTTTGATTGTGAAGCCAATTACCCCATAATACCTGGAGCCTCGTATCACAAAGAACGGGGGGAATGAAAGAGAAGAAAGAATGAAAGAAGCACACCCTCTTTCACAATCAACCCTTTTCATTATGACCATTTTTTTTTCTCTTTATGTCAAGAAGTACTCTCTCTGGAAATTTAAGATTACAAAGACATTATTCATTGTTCCTTTTTCCCTGTGAAAAGCTCAATTTAAAGTCTTTTGTGTTTGTTGCTTGGGTAGACTCCTCTTATTTGTTTTGTTCTGTGCTCTGCACGTAGGATTTCTCTCCGTTCAATGTGGTTGCTTGGCACGGGAACTACACACCTTACAAATACAACCTGAAGAACTTTATGGTTATCAACTGTGTGGCCTTCGATCATGCGGTGAGAGTTTAAGGACGTAATCACTGCGTCGTTTTTAAGTCACATAGAGCATACTTCATTAGTTTCTGACACCCTTAAAGATAGCCGTGCTCTTAACTGTCACAGATTAATTTATTCGATCTTCCTGTAGGATCCATCCATCTTTACCGTGCTAACTGCCAAATCCACACGACCAGGTGTGGCCATCGCTGACTTTGTCATCTTCCCTCCAAGATGGGGTGTTGCTGACCACACCTTCCGTCCGCCATACTACCACCGTAAGACCACAACTGCACACAAGAAAGGGGTTTGTTCGTATTTTGCAGCGTAGGAGAGGCAGACAGAAACAATAAATCTTAGGCGCTACAGTGTTAAGACACTGGAATTTGAATGCTAATTTAAATGGAAATATCAAATTCTGTCTAGTGAGTGTAGTTTGAGTCTATTATGGACTGAAACAAATCATCCAGAAGGTAAAATGTCCATTTACCCAGCCAGTGTCAAGACAGTAGGTGACAACAATCCACCTGCTGTATGACTCATTTCAATAGAGGCCCTGCCACAGTCAGATACCTTTTGTTTGCTTTCATCGCAGATCTATAAGGCCATCTAGTGGAAGTCAGTGCGACAGTTTGCTCTTTCTACAGCAAGTTGTACACAGTGTAGTGTTGTATTACAGCGCCACCTGCTTGTCATTTTAGGTAACTGCATGAGTGAATTCATGGGTCTGATCAAAGGCCACTACGAGGCCAAAGAGGAAGGTTTCCAGCCAGGAGGAGCCAGCCTCCACAGCATCATGACCCCGCACGGCCCCGACGCCGAGTGCTTCGAGAAAAACAGCACTGCTGAGCTCAGACCTGAGAGGGTGGCTGAAGGAACCATGGTAAAAAATATACATAAACATATGAAGTCAAGGTTAATCAGAGAGAATTGGGGATTTTTTATTTTGCAGCACAATCACGTCAATGCCATCAGGGATTATATGTTTCATGTCCTCTCCTCCCTCCAGGCTTTTATGTTTGAGTCGTCCTTCAGCATGGCAGTCACTAAGTGGGGTCTACAAACGTGCCAGAAGCTTGACAAGAGCTACTACCAGTGCTGGGAACCTCTCCGCAGCCACTTTAACCCCAACTGGAAGCCAAGCAAACAGTAGAACTGTTAAATTCAAAGAAATTTGGACCAGATTACTGAAACAGATCTTATGTGAAAATAAAAATCCAAATTTCACTTCATTACAAATAACTACCAAGAATTTAGTGATTTCTGCACTTGGCTTTCTTTGTGTTGTTTAGATCTGTTGACAAAATTACGGATGGACTAAAATTATTATATTCTTACAAATAACTAAGATTGGAGTTGCACAATAAAACAACACCACCTTACATGTTTTGTTTTTTAAAAGTCATACTACAATCCATCCACTCCTGTCTCCAAGCTGAACCTCACTGCCTCAGTCTGCTGGTTAATATGCAGTTATAGTACCTGTGTGTGTGTGCAGCATCCCTACAGTCATATGTAGACATGCAAATTGTGCTGACATTTACTGTGCATTTTCCCACCATTCACACTTTTTCTCAGAAACTAAAGTCACATAACTGTGTTTGACAATATAATTTTATTCGGTTAATAATAATTACAGACATCATCTTTAGAACATGACGGTGGGTCTTCCGACATCAATGCTCAAGATGACAAACTGAAGTTGCGATTAAGGGTTCCAGCCTTAATCTGAGCCTCCTTCTTATCCTGTAAAAAAGACGACAAACAGGATGATGGGTTAGTACAGTTTCCATAGCAACAAAGTCATATCACCCTCTTCACCTTCCGGACATTTTCTCAACCGCATGTTTTATGATTTTCAAGCAGTTTTTTTCCTCCCAGCAGAGAGGGGGAGATGAACATGATAGCCCAGCAGTGTGACAATTGCACCAAATTCTTGCTGGAATTTCAATTGGTGAGGATTTAGAGGGTGAATCTCCATAACAATGGGGAGGAAAATGAAAGCAGGCAGCATTTCAAAAGAAGCATTCATTTCTAATGTGAATGGATCTGTGACAAAAAAAAAGGGAAAGCAGTTCAACGTGCACCTACAAGGGAATAACGAGTCCCAATCCTCAACTAAATAGCTTTTCAGATTTCTACGATGGCATTCGTGACCAAATCACATTTTAAGATTATCTAGGCAAAAATATTAATGTTAACTGTATTGTCAGTGTAATGCAGTAGCTGGAAAATAATCACAACTATAAGATGGTGTTCTTATGCTAATACTAAGTTATTGCATAATATCAAATACATTCATTGATGTTCTGACCACTAGATTGTTACTGAGTATTGCCCAAATAATAAGCAATTCAAAGAAGATGAGTAAGGATGGGGGAAAAAAAAACATCAAAAAAACATTCAGGCACCTGCAGCACAATAGCAGTCCCTAAGCTGCAACAATATGAGTGTATGTAGTCTTGTCTCCTCTTTTTCCTGTTTTGGTTCTGCTCTGTCACATGCTCTTTATACAGCCTTTATACAGTTTTCATTATTAGCATGTGCAACTATCTGTACTACAGATTTAAATTATACAAAAAGACAATGTGGTTACAAAACATGCACCATCAGAAGCAACAGATAAGACTTCTTCATTAAATGACTGATGACATATCAAGCAAAGAGAAGACTGCCATGTATCTTGTCTCATACCCTGTCGGACTTGAAGGTCCAGTAGAGGATAATGACAGGCGCAATTAGAAACAGCCCACCCAACAGAGATGTCTTGTATGTGGGTCTGAAGTGTGGGTAGATGTTGGCCCGTGCATACACCCATCTTGTTATGGCAGGATCTTCCTGTAAAGACAGTGTAATAACATTTCAGTTACCACCCTGTGTAAAGACTCCAATAACTATTTAAGACAAGAAGAGTATAAAAAAATATGTGAAAGAATGTGTTGGAATCTGTCACTGATTCATTTTTGTAAACATTGTCTCATAATAATGTCTGAATGTCTCAGAAATCTTTGGATTTGCCTTTAAACCCTTGGATTGGAAAACACAGGAAAAATAAGAATTCACAGAGAAAAGGGGAGAAACCTGAAGAAAAACAGCCAAGAAAGAGTTTTTTTTTTTTCTAAGACAAGTTGTGTTTACAATGTATATTATGACATGTATCTGAAGGAAAAGCACAAGAGTACGTAATATTATTTTACCTATGGCTGAATTACACTTTAATGATACAATGCCCAGGTCTATGTATTGTTTATGCTGGTCACTGTCAAGATGTACCAGGAGAACTGAACCCAACAGAGCCATCAGCAGCGCGATCAGAAACATTTAAGGTTCTTTCTATTATGACAAGTCAAAAGGTCTGATTTGAAAAAGGCCACAATACATACTGCAAGTAGAAGTAGTCGAATTATGATACCAAGAAACAGAATGACAGTATAAACAGCTAGCGATTTATCAGCCCGGCCTTGGGTAAATTTATTTGCAGGATAGAAAGATGTGTGTACCAAATATCCACACAAATATTTTAAATAACGTCCCACTTAGAGGTGCAAAAATGTAACTCGTAATGTAACTTGTCGATTTACCAATTTGCCTTAATTTAGTAATAAATGCAGCCGTTTACGACAGTAACACAAAAAATTAAATTCTATCTTATGCAGTCATGGCTGCCATGGAAATAAAGTATCCACTTAGATTACACTGTATAATGCAGCTTAGCTTAAAAGTTCTTACATGAAAGAGTATAAATATCATCCAAGAACATGCCTTTTTTTTTTTTTTTTTAGGAAATATCAAACTCCAGTATAAATGTTAGTCTGCAACGTTCTGAATCACTGTTAGCTAGCTAACGCTCCTCGTTAACATCAAAATATCGTTACAAATATCACAAATGTCACATAACCTCGAATGTTAACGTTAACTTTAATGTGTATTAATAAAGATGGACACCGTTTCTTCACGAAATTTCGTTTGTTCAACCTCTGTGACATACTGAGTCTAGCATTGCAGCTAAGAGCTAGTGACCTCTTCGAGGTTGACATTGCTAGCTAGCAGCTAGCCACTTACAATCTGCTCCGTGGGGGTGAACGGGTTGCTGATTTTCAACTGATACTGCCTCTTCAAATTCGCTCGTATTGCAGCCCTGGCTTCTTGAAGACGCCTCTTTTCCGGGGAAACATCATAATAGTCTGGAGACAATGTTTCTGGCCGACTGGCTAAAGGCGCCTCTCGGTAGTTCGCCATGATTGTTTGATGGCGGATGGAACAGGACAAACGTGAACTCGTGAAATCTCGCGTTGAGTGGCCGCACCGTTGCCACAGCAACATCAAACTTTCTGTCGCAGGAGTCAAGTGAAGCAATGAACACTGCTCACAAAAATAAAGAAAAAGAGGACGACGACGTCCCAGTTGATGCTGAAAGTGACTTTCAACATGAAGAGGTTTTTCAAGAAGACGAATGGAGCCTAACACAGGGGGAAGAATACGTGGAATCAGCCGTGAAAGCCATCCAGGACCGGGCTATTAAAAAGCAAAACAGCAGCAGCACACAAAAACCGCCTGCTGTTAGCGACTTTTTACGCGGCTTTCTCTTCCAAACAGGCATGACAGAAACACTTAACTGCTTTCAATCTGAGTGGACCGAGATGATACAGAAAGGGCTGGTGGATGCAGACGGAGTGGATGTGGTACCGGACGTGTACACTGAGAACCAGCGTCTGGAAAGGGAGCTAAAAAATGCCCGGCGGGAGAAGGAGGAGTGCAGGCAGGCAGTCTCCGTCGCAGCTGAGACGATGGTGAGGGCCCAGAAAGCCAGAGACCTCCATCGGCTGCAGCATAAGCGTGTGGTCCAGGAGAAAAACAGACTCATCGAGGAGATGAGAAAGGTCGAAGTGCAGTACGACGGCTCCGAACTTGCTTTGAAGCGAATGAGTGAAAAATACCAAGCAGTTTCAAGGCAGGTGGTGCTGGGGGCTTTAGCTCTAGGACAGGAGAGCCGGCAGTCAACGGAGCATGACTCCCCCTTCTGTGGGGGTGAGGAGGGATCCATGGACAAGACAGGAGAGCCAAGTGTCAGGGAGCGTCCAGTGACCCAGCCAAGACCTCCAGCATCTCCACGGCGCCCTGGGAGGCAGAACAGGGTGCAGTCAGTGAAAGCTAATGTCCCTTGATATGCATCTCCTCAATAAATCAGTGTCAGTAAATATCTCCAGTAACTCTCTTTGTGTGTGTTCTTCCTCCTTAGGTGCACACTCTTTCCAAAATAATTTGCATTTTTGGCTTAATTGTGCTGCAATATGCAGAAAGTTCATTTGCAAAAACAGATAACTCTATTTTCACAAACCTTCAGAAAACCCACTTTCCCATCGTCTACCTGAAACAATATCAATCAGTCTTAAGTTATCTCTATTATTGTCACGTCATACTGAGTCAAATCCACTCAACTTCAGTCTGATTGATATTATCTCAAGCAAACAACAACAACAACAAAAGTTTTCTGAAAATCTACAAAAATGGAGTTATCTGTTTTTGCAAATGAACTCTTCAAATATAATTTCTCATGTTTGAATTAAAGCGCAGATGACATGAATTGAGTGTGAAATTGCTGCATAATGATATAAAACATGATGCAGGTTTTTGTTTTATTTGATCTGTTACATCTCTTGTCGTATTGGCAAACAGATCAATCCATTTTATTACATGAAGTGATGTTTTATATAGTTTCCTGTGTTCGTGTTGCAGGTAATGTAATCAGGATGATTTAACAAAATGCTAAATATTATTACATCCATATGTTGTTTTTGTTGTTGTTATGTTTTTTTTAAACATTTTGGGGGAATCTGAGGAAGATGTAATTGCTGCATGTGGGAAAGGGGATTTTTGGGAAGACCTCGGTATTCTTTTTATTTCGCTTGCTTTAAAATGCACCATCTTAAATACTCAGCTCAGTTTGGCACAAATAAGGACATGTGGGCTGCGGCTGGCAGCATTAGACTGTCAGATGTAGAACAGATAGATTTATCTCTGGTCACCATGATCGCTAAAATTCAGTTAATCGCTTGCATGACTTTTTGTGTTCTTCTGATTTAGATCCCAGTCTAGATGAACATGTACCTATTTCTCAGTTTGTCATTGCTCTGTGTTTTTTAGGTTTAGACGTGTTGCATTGTAGAATATAACCACAAGAGGGCATTCTCTAGCAAGCTGTGGCTATGCTACCACAGAGTGCATATAACAGAACTCCACCACTCAGAACAAGAATTATTAACAGCAGGAAAGCAGGATTCTGCTGCATTCAGAGACAAACCAGCAAAATATCAGAGTCACTCTTGCTCATGAGCGTATTTATTTTTCCACTGACGACCACAGTAATAGGGTTTGGAGTGGAAAATAAAGCCATTAAATAGACTAGGCAGGAACTTTATGCAGCTAACATTGCAATAAATGATCTGCAGTGAAATCACACTAAATCCCTTATGCATTTACAATTCGTACATGGCTTTCATAGGCAATATGTTCTCCTGGAGGAGGTCAGAACAAGAATTCAAGGTAGTGGCACAAGGTCTAGCAATGCAGAGATGGTTTAGCTTGCAAGAGACAACCAGGCAACACAGACTATCCTGCTGTTGTTGTTTTTATTCCGCCAGGGTCATGGGATATAATTGAAGCTGTGGTCTTATATACCTTGTGGATTTTGCAGTACATTCAGTTGATATAACAATATCAGTTCTCACACTGTTCTCTCTAACCTTGAACTTCATACTTGAGCAGCAGAGTGGTACAGAGATGCTGAGAGAGCTCTTTGATCCAGAGAAGCCCCGGCGCAGCTACAGTACGTGTGACCAAATGATTTATTGTCCTCTCCGGACCTCTAAAGTGCCACCCGCTCTGCAGTTTTGAAACATCCATTTATGACTTTGAAATTCAGTGAGAGACCACACTCCGGTTCAGAGAGAGATTTAACCTCAAATGAAATATTAATATGTTTCTGCCCGGCCTGGCATCCATAGCCGTCATGGACTTGGAGATGAACTTTTGGAAGTTTTCAAGCTAAGTTTTTTCTCTTTCTTTCTTTTCTTATAGCCGGTGCTGCTACTGTCAGCTTCCACATTATTCCTCTTTGTCCTTTATTTTCCACACAGCACTTGGTGTTTTATTCTCTATCCGTGATGCTGACTGATGTTTATTTTTGATGCACTTATTGTGCACACTCTGGCAGATAACTGAGAGGTAATGATGTGATATAGATACAGAGGCAGTTCCAGACTGAGAGATAAAGGAATGAAAAGGCGTCAGTGATTTCTATCAGCAGTCTCTGCTACCTTGCAGGACTTAATCATTCCCAGTAATCAGAAGTTATTCTGTGCCGCTTTGGTCTTCTGAAATGACTTCTACACGCGAGAATGGCTTGGAAAGTGGAAGCAGGTTTCTTTTCCGACCACAAGCTAAAATTACTTTTCTCCTTATTTTTCACCAAAGGTCCCTGAAGTGGTTTGTAGACTTAGAGACAATGACCTAAGCAGTGTTATGCTGCTCTTTGGTACTTATTCATAACATTTCCTGGCCCAGCGATTCCATTACTTCTCTGCTGCCCTTGAGGAATGTAACTGAGGAATGTAATGTTCCTTTCCACCCTTGTTTTCATCTACAGGACATAATTGTGCCAGTTTAAAGTCTTTGTAATTTCCACAAATGGTCTCAAAGTTAATGAAGTGGTGGCTCGAGGCAAGAGTCAAACGTTGTGTTATTTCCTACCTCCCAAGTTCATATCATCTTTTTCTTTTTTTTTGGGCCCCCTCTTCACTGACACTTCACGTTGTCTTTCACAGGCTTTATATGAAGTTTTGGACTTTGGAGCTTCATCTTAAATGTCTCGGGCTGATTGGAATTCCTCCCCTGCCAGCCCAGCTCCCTGTGCTGCCCTCTCGGCTCCTCTCTCCACTGACAGCCCTGTCCATTTCGCAGACTGCAACCTCCTTTGTGTCATACTAAAGAGACAAACTGAAATTCGAGCATAAACACCAGACCTGCCTCACATCCCTTCTCCTCGCTGCCTCCCTGCCTTTTCGCATCTTTTAATCCAATGCCCTTTTTATGCAGCTGAATTACACCAGGCTTTAAATTATGATTGATTCAGTAAAATTGCTTTAGCCGAGTTATCAGACATCTTAAATGATGCTTTGGCTCCTTATTCTCCAAAATGTATTTTTAAGAAATGTCCCTCTCTCTCAATTCATCATCAATTCTCTCTGCCATCCTATTCTAATCTCTATCTATGAAATTGATTCACACTGTCTGCGAGTATTCCCTTCTTAATAAATCAGCTTTCCATGGATCTATATGGTGGGCAGCGGGTCAAACTCAGCAATATTTTCTGCTTTAATGTACTATGCAGGGCATAGATTGACTCGTGGCAGTGACTCAGCAGGCATCCATCATCTTCAAGGAGAGCTACACGGATGAATTGCCCAGAGACAGAGTTGACAGAATCCTGCATTTTTCTTTCAGCTCTGCTCATCTCGGCACCAACAGGCTCTTATTGCCTGTGAATTACTAATGGTGAGGGATGTGGGGACACAAGCTCGCATCCAGCATTTTGCACCTGGCATGAAAACACCCTGTAGAATCCATTTTGGCAATATTACGATTCAGGTGGTGAATCGAGTCACAAATGCACTGTGATCAAGCTTAAACCAACACTGTGTTTCTCCTGACATTTCAGGATGATTAGTAACTGTCCTGTCATTAGCCAGAGCTGTATTAGTAAACCAGCAATGTTGGGAACTCCCCCAAAAGGTCACTACTCATTCATTCCCTTTGCTCATGCTCTGTCTTGCTGGGAGTTAGCTTTGCTTAGCCAACATGTGGGAAACTGGTAGCAACAAAATGTGACTATCAGCATCTCTAAAGCTACTTTACTAATAATTGCTTTATTCTGTGCATAATAGAAATGTGAAAGCTATCTGCAGATATTAGGCTATTTATGTGCCTATTTCATAGTCAAGGTCACTGACTTCTTGGAGTCTAGTCATTAGCGTGTGGTTGCCAGGCAACCTATTCCTTCTTTAAGCAAAGTTGAGCGTATCCTGGTTCAATTTTCAGCAGCCTATTTATCATATGGACACGGTAATACATTTTTTATTCAACCCTTAGTAAAAAAGCACATTTCTCACAATGTTAAACTCTTTAGCCCTCATCCTAGTAACTGGGATGTCCAAAGAGGACACCACATGAGCTATAATGTGCATCATATCTCACAGGGGCTTTATTCTTCTTCATATCACATATCATATACCTCATATATCTGCTTCATATCATTGTTTTCCATTTCTGCTTTCAGTGTTTTCTGTCTAGTGCTTTTTATATATTCCAGCATACTGGGGTCTTGAAGGATGCCAGTCAAAAGTGTCCACTTCCATCTGTGCAGTTTTAATAGATGGAGCCATTTATTGAACACATGTTTCCCACTGGTTCTAATTTAAGATATCACACAGTATTGGATGGGGGTGTCTCTGTCAGTCATTTTAAAAGGAGGCAGATGCAGATTTCCCTTATGTGCTCTGTCAACAACACTAAACGCTGCTCCTCCTGAAATAACATGATATTCACAGTCAGAAATTCAATACACAGTTTCATGGCAATATGTTTGATTACTGTCAAGTTAATTGTTCATGTTCTACTATACAAGATGAGGCTAAAGAGAAGAAAGGATAAGTAAGGGTATGCAAGGAGAATGTTTTGAGAAGATTTGCTCTGTTTCTCAGAGCCTAAAGATGTGTTTGACTATAGAATATATGTAAGAAAAAAAAGTAGTTTTGGATGGTTTTGGATCAGTGTTGCTTTTTTTTAAAAGCACTAATTACAACCAGATCAGGATTGTTCAGATTTGGCATTGCTAAGATTTGGAGATCTGTAAATATAACATCAATAGTATTTACCTAAAACGACTAAATGTGAAATGATGATGGTCTAGCACAGAAACATTACAAATACATGTATTTTTGCAAGTTAGACAGTGTTCTGGAGGCTTTTTGAAACCTTTCATGTCAACATGTCTCATGAAATAGATGTGCAAAGAGTTCCTTGTGTCTTAAAAGACATATTTAAACAGTTCTTAAAATTACTGAATATAAACCATGTACCAGAATCAAAAATAGGTGAATAAGCCTTT